GATAAATATCGCTCGATAAGAACAAGTATGTGGATTCGATGATTTTTCTATTTAAATAGATAAATAGATTTCACGTGAACAGTCGAGTGGGCATAGATTCTAATCGATATTTCTAATCGATCTTGTCTCATAAGTTTCCTTGTAATGTCCACGTAGATATATGTACTAAGAACTGAACTCAGCAGTTAAAGGTATAATTATTAATTTAATACACTTTATGTGTAATTTTCAAGGATATCAAGTTTCTAAATTAATTTTTATACAGAACTAAACAAAATTGTACTATCAAAATGAGATATCGTGGATCCAATTTTGGAGATCCGCCTTCAAGAAATTACTTTATTAGAGTATGGATGAAATATCTTTTCAGTAAAATTAACTAAAAGTAGTACAACATCAACGTTATAATTTCACACTCAACAATGTAACTGTTACATTCAACATCTGTTATATTACATTTATATTGTTCAGTGTGGAACTATAATTAATGTTACTCTTAGTTGGTGGTTATTTACTAGGTTATAAAGTTGTGAGAACATGGAACTCCACTGTGTACTGCTTGCGGATGAGCAACTTTAGTTCAGCAATTCTACATGGATTACATCTGTTAAAATCAATATATAGAAGTATCCAAGTAGAATTCACATTGAAATTTGAGGAAAATTTATTTTGATTTGATAATGAAACCGCAACATTATATTCATGTACATGTCGATGAATTCTTGTCTACGTAGTTCATGTCAAATACATAAATTCAACGTACTTGTTCTCATCAAGCAATGAATCATATTTCTTATTTCTGCCATTCTATCATAATCTTTACATTTTTTTTGCAATAATTCTGCAGAATGTTTTGCAACGCTTGAATCAAGTTTCAGAAAACAAAGAAACTCTGTAATTGTCTATAATATCTGATTAAATTTTGAAAAGAATAAGATTTTACGTATCACACATATTTTTATGGGTTGATGCGCGTTTTTATAAATTAATTAAATATTCCAAAGCATTCTATCAGAAATCTCTGCATTAGCACACATAATTATTTTATAGATTTAAATATATTAGCTATGTTTGGATGAATCGAAAATTTAAAATGTAATGAAGCATGTAGTGTATCAAATTTTCATATTTAGTGCCTATGGAAAGGCAACCTGGGGGATGATTTCGTAGTCAATACAAAATAAAGAATCTGTAAAGATAATTACGTAGCAATTAATTTTAATAATTGATATAAAGTAATAATATCTTAATTAATGCGACAACGCGATTATATTCACATAAAATTCATATGAAAAACTTTACTTTCTCCTTCTAACTGAACTTATATGGAATAATATAATTGTAAAGCCACTAAATGCATGTCAATTTTACTTGTCACAATAAACAAATTAACTACGGATGAAAAAAATAGAATGATTTTTTTATCTCCAGTTGCTCTGTTTACTTGTCAGGTCGCGACAGGGAGTAGCAAGCACTCCGCTGTGAAATTATAAATTTAAATCATCCCCTGATGTGTGGCTCTTCATTATTGGCCCTTTATGCCGCTTATAGCATTCATTGATATGGACGTTCATAACTAAGTTCGATGTTCGATTTTCTACTTTGCAGCCCACGTGGCGTTTATGGGGCGAGGAAAGAGGCGACGGCGTCATATACACAGTATATCTAAAGAAGGTCCGATACCATCGGCCCACGAGAAGTCTTTCAGCATCGGTGAGCATGAGATATTTTTAGTCAAGATTTTTAGCGTTTAATATTTTTACCAATTTAACTTGTCCTTTTCTTGTAGATTTTTAGCATTTGATAGTAATTTTTACTCGTTCAATTTGTTCTTTTTAGACCTTAATAATTTTTATTAATTTAATTTTATCATTTTTAAAGTTTAATTATAATTTTAACTAGTTTAATCTTTTTTTTATTGTAGTTGATTTTTAGTGATTTTTACTAATGTAATTTAACTTTTTCTTATTACGGTTGAATAAAGATCTACTTGTAATCAGTATCTTCCATAATTTTTTGATTCAAGAAAGATTCATGGTCTCCTCATTAAAAATTTTTACTTGCTCTGAAATTTCTAAATTTCAGCTACTATTTATTTAAAGACTTTTATTTAATCCTAGAACACATGTAAATTTCACGTGTAAGTGAGATCATTGAGCGCTAAGCTGTGTCTTCAATGGTTAGCATAAGAATTTAAATCTGCCAGGCTGAAAGCTGAAGCCTAATTGAGTACCATTCCAGTGCCATTCACCAAAGCGCGGATCAAAGCTTTTAAAAATTCAGTCTATTATATATCAGTTTGGACCTTTTTGGTGGTCAATATTACAACAAAGAGAAATCACGTGATAAATGATATCAATTTTTAAATAATTTTATTGGATTACATACGTCATATCATTTCAAAATAGAATTTGACAGTAATCTTGCTCTTTTTATTAATTTAATAATTAAATTATTTATAAGGGTTTATATTTTCCCCAGTTTTCTTATTTTCTTTAGTTTATATAGATTATAAATATGCCATTAGCATTAAAAAAGTGTGAAGTGTAAAAAAATCTTGTGTTACATTAATTAAGAATAATCTACATTCTCGTAAAATTTATATATCAATAGTAATACTGTACCATCAATATCGACAAGCAGTTTAGAGTAAAAGGCATTTATTTCAAGGAATCTGGCACAAAAGTGTCCATACAGCGCATTCTAGCAACGTTGCAGCAACGTTGCTGAAATACTCTGCGCTGTCGTATGTTTGTTTTCAATTAATAGTTTCAACATTCGACTAATGCACTCGTTGCGATTCTCCAGGATTCTGACGACGAGATTTCGCATTTGGAATGGGAGACGGTGCGAGTGCGTTTCTTGAAGGCCGGCACGGTGCAGCGGCTGGTCGAAAGTCTGGCAAACGACGACGGCGAGCTGGAGTCCACTTACATAAACATCTTCCTGGCGACATACCGGGCGTTCACCAGCCCGCGTGAAGTCCTCGAGCTGCTGCTCGCGCGATACGACGCCCTGGACGGGACCGCCGGCTGCGAGCAGCACCGCAAGACCCTCGTCCAGGCTCTGCACGTCTGGCTGGACGCTTATCTAGGTGACTGGAAGTCACCCCCGAGCCATCCCCTGCTCACCAGGCTTCTCGAGTTCACGCAGCAGCGTCTTCTTGGCTCTGAGCTTGAACTCAAAGCTAAGCACCGACTGCACCGGTTTCAACGGGAGGATCAGATAGGTAATGTTATTTCACTGGCTTGGTGAGTCACGTCGTTCCACCCGTGAACTTTAAACACACAAAGAATCGTATAATTGATAAGGCACCGTGAGAAGCTCAAATACAAAGAATGATAATGCGGCGCGACATTTCCTAAGAACCACATCGGTTTTGGTTAAACTGTAAAAGAAACGAGCATTATGATGCTAATTTGTTGTAACCAAAATGATGCATTCAGTATGAAATTCATCAAATAGAATTCTTTAACATCAATCAAATTCTATTAATGTAATATGCATAATCAACTGGAAATAATACAATCTTTTTTATTTTCGTATTTCAAAAACGTTTTAATTTTTTTTTTTATGTACTCATTTTAATACGATGTCCTGCAATATACTGATCATCTATTTAAAAAATGATTTTACACCCAATAATATCTTTTTATTTAATAAAATTAGAATAATGATCCAAAATTAAGTTATCTTGTGATAATTGTAGGTACATATTTTGTGACAATTATCATTTATTCCAAAATTACATTAAATAAAAATTATTTAATAAAATTATTATTTATAAATCGTGCTTTAAATTTAGAAATTTTTAACTCAATTTTAAAGTAATAAATTTATATTTAATGAAATTGAAATATGCTTCAGAATTGTTCTAAGATAATTATCATAAGATAATTCTAGATTATGTATTCCGATTCCAGTAAATAAAAATTTAACTTTTTAAAATATGCTTTAAATAAATGTCATATAATATAGTATTAAAATAAATGTATAAAAATACAGATTAAAATAAATGTATAAGAATACAGAGGTTTTTGAAATATAAAATAAAATTTTAAATCCGTTGATTGTATTTAAATAAAGTTCAAATCTATAATAAAAGCATTCAGTGATTTTTGAAAAGTTAATGGCGAGTGAAAATAGAATCGAGTAATAAAAGGAATACCAGAATGAGACTAGTTACTTCCCGTGGTTTTTTTAAATATGAATATGAATCCAGTATTAAAAAATTCCAAATTATTCTATCACGTCAAAATTTTGAGATTTGCATTTATACAATAGTTGCAAAAAAATACTATTTTTACATATTTGGTCATATTATAACTATGTTGTATGATATATTGGAAAAGTTTCATTGTAATAAAAATTAAGTATATTATTAGAACTTCCAAACCTTAAAAAGTTTTTTTAGTCTCAGATATGATTTATAAGATAATTATAATTAAATATTGCTGAAACTGATGTCAAAACTGACAAATTCAAAATTATGAAAAACATCTATAAATTTCGCAATGATCCAGACATTTTTCAAGTTCTGATATCCGCCATATTAAATCCATAATTTTGAATTTGCCAATTTTGACATCGGATTCGTATTCAATGGTAAAAGTTTAAATAAGTACAATTGAAAGTTGTTTGTTAAATCATCAATAACTTATTTCACAGCTTTTTCATAATAAAACCTATATTTAACTATATATTTTATTAACCATAGTCGATTAAAAAATCCTTTTGAGAGCTGAAAGTCCTAATATTTAATTTTGATTGTAGTATAATTTCTTCAATATATCATAAATCGTAGTTATAATATTACAAAATTAATAAAAATAGCCCTTTCTTGCAAAATTGAATTGTAAATTGCTTAGTAACTTTGTAACGTGATAGAGCAATTTGGAAAACACATTCGTGTGTAGGTATTCAACATTCAAAAAACTATTAAAAAATTACTAGTTCCTGTTCCAATATCAGAAAAAGATATTTTTGTCGAACAATGTAGTAATATATATGTATAATTATATTTTTAAACATCGGTTAAACATAGTTTTTTGAATTAATACGTAACGCACTAAATGCCGATTTTTAAGTAACTCTAATTTTCTCGTTTTGAGTCATTAAAAATATGGAATCCAAATTGTTCTTAATGCTTAATAATAATATATTCTTGCTTATGCACATTTGAATGTAACAAGTAATGATTCACATGACAAGTAATGACTGCTTTGTATTTACAAAGAATTCGTGAACCGCGATAAGCGAGCAAAACATCCACTAAAATATTATATTTCAAATGCATTGTCTGAGGAGAAACATTATCGCGCACAATGAGATCTTTAACATTTATAGGAACCTCAAATTGCAAAACTGTCTCCTCAAACTTATGAAAAAAAAAAAAATATAACAGATGGAGTAATATAGGGTCGGATACTTTATGTATCCAGATCTCGCAATGCGTTTCGACGCACATCCCGCGAGTTTCTAGAATACAAAAAAAAGTAACGGCATATTTTATTGACGCGAGCAGCATTGGCGCGAAAGAATCGTTCTATCGGCAGTTTGAAACACAGAAAGATGGTCTGAATGTTAGTGACGGTGAAAGACCAATCAGGCTGCTCGAGCTCGCACAAAGGCGTCTGCTTCCCGTGTATAAATTGAGGGTCTACAGACTCTATTATACTGCCACGACCCAGGGCTCACCTTTCACTCAAGGCTCGCCTGCTGGAGAACTCGATCCAGTTGCAATATTTCCAAAATAGAGATGGTTTTATTTAAAGTAACGAAAGAAAGAGAGGAAGAGAGAATATTTTGAAACAACCTTGCAAAAGAAAGTTTTTGGCGCGAATATAATTTCTTTCGAAACTTGTTCTTAATAAAGATTGAGAGAATGTAATATTTTTGAAATTTTTAATCTTATTAAATTATGAAAATTATAAAATTAATTTAAAAAATTATAATGTATGGAGTAAGAAAAAATTTTATGAAAAGGACTTCGATTATGAAAATTAACATTTCACCATTTGATTCCATATTAATTTTCATTAATTTTCGATTAGATTAATTTAAGTTAAGTCGGCATTTAGATATTTTTAAAAGAATTTCTAAAGAAATTTACTTACATCAGAATTAATTGTTAAAATTTAATACAAATTTTTAATCTCATTGAAATTTCAAAGCCACACAAATCGATTTAATTAATCTAAATCATTCTTTTAAATATTTGCAACAAAATTCATATTTTAAAAATCATATAAAATAAAAATGACTTTTAAAAAAGCCAACCAATTATGAAAAAAAATAATATTTCGCCACATAATTCTAGATTAATTTTCATTAATTTGAGATCGAATCAGATTGATTTCGGTTTTCTTTTCCTTTTAGACTGTATAGCATACGACAATGGTCGACTACCCATGCGCGGTTCCCCGGATCCGATGGCGGATCACTGGGGGAACTACATCTTCCCCGAGGTGCCCCACCGTCATTTCGCCGAACAGCTAACCCGGATGGATGCCGAAGTGTTTAAGAAGCTGGTTGCCCATCAGTGTCTTGGCGCCGTATGGTCCAGGAAGGATCGTTCCAGGAGTCACGAAGCCGCCACGGTGGTGGCAACCGTGAACCAATTCAACGCCGTCTCGTTACGTGTGATCTCGACGATTCTGACGGACACGACGCTCAAATCTCAGGAGCGCGCCAGAATCCTCGAGACGTGGATCGACGTCGCGCAGGAATTGCGGATACTCAAGAATTTTAGTAGCTTAAAGGCGATCGTCTCCGGCCTCCAAAGCAATCCGGTGTATCGACTGGAGAAGTGTTGGCAATGCATGCCTCGGGAGAAGCACGAACTCTTCCGCGAGCTCGAGAGGATATTCTCGGAGGAGAACAACGCCTGGACACAGAGGGAGTTGCTCATCAAAGAGGGCACTGCTAAGTTTGCTGACACTGCCGGCAGAAGCGATAGGCATCTGCAGAAGCTCTTTCAAAAACAGAATACTCACGCGGGCGTAAGTGCAATAACACGTTGTGTAACGTTGCTCTCTTTTGTGAGCTCTCGCGAAATTCTTTCTCAGCTTTTTAAGAAGATCATATAGACGTTTAATCCTGTTGTTCTGTTCAAATTTATAATCATATTGTTACGACCAATCAAAAAGGTCTAAACAATAAAAAAGATTTTACAGAAAAAGGATCTTATATTCACAGACAAAGTCATCATATACCAGAGAAAAAAAAGTTCTTAAATATTAAATAGTAAAAAATGTACTATATTTTGAATTAAATATACGCGAACAGAACAGTAAGGTAAAAAAAAAAATCATACCAACATTCTCTTTTATGTAAAGAAAAAAGTTTGTCCGTACCTTTTTTCATGATAAAATATTAATATATCTGATATTTGATTTTAAGAACTTTTAAACTGTAAAAGTTTGCCACATCAGTGGTCTCTAAACTAGAAAATTGCTTTAATGATTTAACGAGACTAGAGCTTTAATTATAAAATTAAGTATATACA